GGGCTCTGGGGTCAGCCAGACCCAAGTGTGCGTGCCAGCACTGGTGTGCCTTGACTGTGAGGCCTTGGGGACGTGGCTTCACAGTGTCATGGTGAAGGCTTCACAGGAGGGGATGTGGGGGTCCCTGGCACCCTGGCCCACTGGCAGCTCAGGATGATGAGACGTAATTGTTATTGGTTACTAATGTGAGTGTCATTACTGTTGCCGACACTAACAGTCATTGTTATGATTATTGTTAGAGTCCTTCTGGACGTGGCTGTGAGCAAATTAGGACTGAGGATTCCCAAACCTGTTTTCTGGTCTGCAAAATGGACACTTGATGTTGATATCTATTCAGAGCGTCTCTAGGAGGATTAAATAAGGGAATGAAAGTGAAGTGCCAAGCAAGTGGGAATCAAATCTGAAGCTGTCACCCCTCACCCACCATCCCCAGCCTCTTTTCTCCCCTTTGCCACCCCACAGTGCCTTGACTAGTTTTTGCCTTCCTTCCTTCCCTGCTTCCTTCCTTCCTTCCTTCCTTCCCTTCTTCCTTCCTTCCTTCCTTCCTTCCTTCCTTCCTTCCTTCCTTCCTTCCTTCCTTCTTTTCTTTCTTTCTTCTGTCTGTCTTTTTTGACAAGGTCTCGCTTTGTCACCCAGGCTGGAGCGCAGTGGCACAATCTCGGCTCACTGCAACCTCTGCTTCCTGGGTTCAAGCAATTCTCCTGCCTCAACCTCCCGAGTAACTAGGATTATAGGCGTGTGCCACCATGCCCGGCTAATTTTGTATTTTTAGTAGAAATGAGGTTTCACCATGTTGGTCAGGCTGGTCTCAAACTCCTGATCTCAAGGGATCCACCCACCTCGCAAAGTGCTGGGATTACAGACATGAGCCACCGTGCCCGGCCTTGACTGCGGTTTTAAAGCAGTATTCAGAGTGTGTTCACTTAGAGGGCCAGGGGATGGGCAACCTGAATGATAATAGTAACAACAGTAACAGCCTCCGTTATTGAGCGGGAACTGTATGCTAGGCACCTTTTTTTCTTTGTTTGAGACAGGGTCTCTGTCACCCAGGCTGGAGTGTAGTGGTGTAATCTCAGCTCACTGGAGCCTTGACCTCCTTGGGCTCAAGCTATCCTCCCACCTCAGCCTCTCAAATAGCTGGGACTACAGGTGTGCACCACCATGCCTGCCTAATTTTTTTTTTCTTTCTGTAGAAATGGGGTCTGCCCATGTTGTTCAGGCTGGTCTCGAGCTCCTGGGCTCCAGTGATCCTCCCACCTCGGCCTCCCAACATGTTGGGATTACAGGCCTGAGCCATTGCAGCTGGCTACTAGGCATCTTAATGTACTACTGCCTCGGGAAATCTCAGCAGCTGTGGGATCCATATTTTATAGCTAAGGATAGATCCACAGAGATGAAATGACTTCCCAGGGGTCACCCAGCTTATAAGCGGCAGAGCTGGAATTCAGATGTGACCCATGTGACCCAGAGGTTGTCCCACTAGCCTTGCCCACTGCCCCTTGGCCACGAGGAGCCAGCACTGTCACCCCGGAGCCAATGTTCCCGGGATCCAGCAGATGCCTTTGCAGCCATGCATCTGGTCCCTGGGAGTGGGTGGATGGCACCACCTGTGTTTCTGGCAGGGAGTGAGGCCGGATGGTTCTGTGTTCCGGACGGGACCTCGCTCACACTCTGCTGTGCGTGCCACCCTCAGAGGATGGGGATGAATCACAGCAGAGGGGGCCAGCTTAGTCAGCACCCCATGCTGGTGTCTGGGCGCTGTTTAGAGACAATCCAGCTGTCCCCTCCCTTCCCCATCCCTGACCCCCGCCTTGGCTGCCAAGTACAGTGGTGCAGGTTGCACCTTGTGCAAGGGCACCTGGCTGAGGGGTGAGCTGGAGCTGAACTCCAGGCAGCATTCTGCTTGCCAAGTTGTGTGTCTGGCAGGTCCCTGCATGTGTCCAGAGGATTCTGCAAGTTGAACCCTATCCTAACATGGGCAAAGGCATCAGAACGGGAGGCATTTGGTTCAGGAGCTCTAGAATTTTACACCTGAGCGAGGTCATCTTGTTGAAGGCCAGCCTCTGTCTAGGAACGTGGCCTCAGTCACATGCCTGTGGGGACAGACCTGTGAAGTAGGTGGAATATGTGCCCCCTTACGCCAGTGCCATTCCTGGGCAGTGGGGGATCTGCACAGCTGGTTCTTTTTTGTTTTGTTGGGTTTTTTTTTTATTTTTTTTTGCTTTTCTTGAGAGGGAGTCTCGCTCTGTCACCCATGCTGGAGTGCAGTGGTGCGATCTCGGCTCATTGCAACCTCTGTTTGCCTCCTGGATTCAAGTGATTCTCCTGCCTCAGCCTCCCGAGTAGCTGGGATTATAGGTACGTGCCACCACACCCAGCTAATTTTTTTTTTTTTTTGAGATGAAGTCTCGCTCTGTCACCCAGGCTTGGGCAGTGGTGTGATCTCTGCTCACTGCAACCCCCGCCTCCCGGGTTCAAGCAATTCTCCTGCCTCAGCCTCCTGAGTAGCTGGGACTACAGGCACATACACCGTGCCCAGCTAATTTTTGTATTTTTAGTAGAGACAGGGTTTCACTATGTTGGCCAAGCTGGTCTCTAACTCCTGACCTCGCGATCCACCCTTCTCAGCCCCCAAAGTGCTGAGATTACAGGTGTGAGCCACTGCACCTGGCCTGAACACTGTTATTATCCCAGTTTTCATAGCAGGAAAACAAGGCCAGAAATGCCAGGATCACCGAGTGAGAAAATTAGGAAGCAGTGGTGACTGGATGTTAGCCCTGACATCTGACTCCAGAGACAGCTCTTAACCCTGTCCCTGGACAGCCTCCCCAGGCACGGAAGTGCAGAGATAGCCGGTCCTGGTGTTCAGTGCTGTCCCCAGGCTGGGTATCCCGCTCTCGGAGGTGAGATGGGGGTGCTGTGACCTGCTTCTCAGGGTGAGAGGGTCAAGGAGGGGCCCGCCCAGGTGGTGCTCAGTGACCATGCTTTCCCGTCTCAGAGGGACTGTGCTGCCCGCTGGTCTCCCTGGCCTGACACTGCGCACGTGTCTGTGACAGGTAAATAGAAAGCATTGCTGGCCGGGCGCGGTGGCTCGCGACTGTAATCCCAGCACTGCGGGAGGCAGAGATGGGAGGATCACTTGAGCTCAGGAGTTTGAGACCAACCTGGGCGACATGGCGAGACCATTATTTAAATTTTTTAAAAAAGCATTGTTGTGGGCAGCTTCCCATCTGATCACTGGATATTAGAACCAGAGAGGCCTTTAGAGATCACCCGGTCCTGCCGCTTCCCACATGGGGAAACTGAGGCTCAGAGACAACAGGTGGCTGAGTCACAGACTGAGCCACGTGGCAGAGCTGGGACTAGAATGTGGGGTCCTGTTGACCCGTTCAGGATGGCCAAGCACTTCCCATGTGCTAGATGATGGATGGGCAGAGGAGGGCATGGGTGGGCAGCCATGGCCCTGAACTGAGGCTGACCAGGTGATGAAGTGAGTGGAACCATTAGCTGGTTTGCCCCCTGTGGAGTGGAGGGGGTGGGGGGGGGAACGCAAACACCCACACATATACACACACATACAGCCCACCGAAGGGGCTTACCATTTGGGTCTCCTGGCTGGGGAGGCAGGCCGAGGAGCCTGTGGTGCAGTTTCCTGGTGGGCTGGTGTTTGGGACAGCTAGCACTGCAGCATGAACACAGGCTTTCCTGGCAGACCTGAGCGCAGGAACCCTGAGGCCTGCTCTGCCCTTCCTACGTGTGTGAGTTGGGGTCCCTCATGGCACCTGTCTGAGCCTCAGTTCCCTCATTCATGAGTGAGATTATAATCCACAACTCTTGGGGTTTGAAGGGGCTAGCATGGTCCTAGGGTGTAGTTAGTGGTTCATAAAGGAAAATGGGAAAATTGTTATTAGTATGATTTGTTGGGAGGAGCCTTTTTTTTTTTTTTTTGGATGGGGGTCTTTTTCTGTTGTCCAGGTCAGAGGACAATGGCTTAATCTCAGCTCTCTGCAGCCTCTGCCTCCTGGGCTCAAGCCATCCTCCCACTTCACTTCCTGAGTAGCTGGGACTACAGGCATGCTCCACCATGCTCAGCTAATTTTTGCATTTTTTGTGCAGATGCGGTTTCCCTCGGGCTAGTCTCGAACTCCTGGGCTCAAGCAATTCACCCGTCTTGGCCTCCCAAAGTGCTGGGATTAAGGAGGAGACATTCATTATGTGATTAGGAGTGGGGACCCTAGAGGCCTGAGACCTGGATTCCAAGCCCAGCTGGGCTCCTTCCTAGCAGTGTGACCTTGGCTCAGTCACTTCATTTCTGGAACCTCAGTGCCCCCATCTAAAAACGCATAACAGGCCCTACCTGACAGGTTGTCCTGGGGATTAAATGAGATGATGCATATAGAGCTTTCAGCTTAGTGCCAGCACATAGTAGGTATTCAATAAACCACTAGCCCTAATAATAGGTAACATTTATTGAGCACTTGCTTAATGCCAGACATTATCAGTGTCTTTTTCACCATTTGCATTAGCAAACTTCTCTGTACCACTTTCTGAGCAAGCAGCCATTGCCTCATATTCCCACAGTGGAAGTAGAGGCCTAGAGACGGGAAGTGACTTGCCTAAGGTCACACAGGCAGCTTCTCAATGCCTGTGTGGTTTTGTCCAGCTAAGTAGGCTGCAGAGCCACCGTTCTGTTCCAGTCTGTCAGAGAACCACCCTCCCCGTCCCCTCCCTTCCCCATTACTCTCCGGCGCCAGCAGCTTCTTGGAGCTTCATGCTTTCTGAATGGCTTGGTTTAGCACTCGGCCGTTAAACGTTCATCTCTTACAATTTCAATCCAATTCCTATAAGTTTATTGGCAAGACGAGGTGTATTAGAGCTGCCAAATTTAATATATCAAGTGTGCGTGTCTGGGACACGGTCTCTCTGCAGTAATGGGAGAAGAGAGGTTTTATATGTTTTCATTTTGAATGACTGGCTATTCTTGATCCCATTACAGCCCCTGACTTAATGGTTGCTGTCCCTGTCTTCTGCAAGAGTGGCTTTCTCCATCAACCTGCTTGGCTGCTGGGACTGTCTCTGCATCTCTCCGCAGTCTCCTCCTCCTGAGCTGTGTTCCCCCATCAGTCCACTGTGGTGATCAGGTCCTGGGAGTCTGGGGCTTTGGCTGCTAGCCCCGATAGCTACCTTGTGACCTGGGGGAGATCATTGCTTTTCCTCACCTGGGCCTCAGGAACCTGTTCTGTGAAGTGAGGGGTCTGACCACTGGGTGAGCAGTTGGTCTGGGCTCAGCCTTGGCAGATCCCCCTTGAGGCTCCAAGTGGACCCGTCTGTCCTCCTGTCTTGCAGCACCAAACTCACGGACCCAAGGGCTGGCCGCGAGAGTCATTGAATTGACAACCACCTTGGGCTGCAGGTCTCCTGGGTCAGGAGTGGTGGCTGTGATCACCATGGCTGAGGGGTCTTAAGACCCCAAAATGTTTTCATTTCCCTCTGTGACTGGATTCGGATCTGCCACCTGATAATTTAGTGATCTCCTTGGGAAGCTGCCAGCATTCACTGCCTGAGCCCTCTGGCTTCTCTAATCCTTGAACTGGCTGTGGAAGAAAGGACACCCGGCAGTGTGACGTTGGGAGACTTGGTTTGCCTTCTGCTTATCAGGAGGAATCACACCCCCTCCCTGAACCTCAGTTTTCCCAAAGGGAAAATTGGAATTGATTCATGTAACAAGTACTTCAATGCCTACTCTGTACAGTGTGCGCTATTTTAGGTTCTGGGGCTCCAGCAGTAAACAAAACACAAACCTCCCCTCATGGGTTTATATTCTTACTGGGGGAGAAAGACAATAAACATAACAAGTAACTTATTGCATGAAGGGTGTATTAGTCCCTTCCCACATTGCTATCAGGAAATACCCTAGACTGGGTAATTTACAAAGGAAAGAGGTTTAAGTGACTCACAGTTCCGCATGGCTGGGAAGGCCTCAGGAAACTTACAATCATGGCAGGAGGGAAAGGGGAGGCAGGCACCTTCTTCACAAGGCAGCAGGAGAGAGAAGTGCTGAGCAAAGCGGGAAGAGCCCCTTATAAAAGCAGCAGATCCTGTGAGAACTCTTCACTGTCATGAGAACAGCATGGGGGAAACCACCCCCATGTCAGTTACCTCTACCTGGTCTCTCCCTTGACACGTGGAGATTATTGGGATTACAATTCAAGATGAGATTTGGGTGGGGATACAAAGCCTAATGGTATCAAAGGGTGATACATGCTATGAGGGAAAATAAAGCAGGGAGTGGAGGAAGTTAAGTGGAAGATACTGCCATCTTGAATAAAGTAGCATTGGAGCAAATATGGAAGGAGTAAAGAGGGGAAGTGAGGCGGGTGTTTGCAGGAGGGCACACCCCTCCTTGGGGAGCCTCGGGTACAAAGGCCAGGAGGTGGCCATGTGCCTGGCATGTATGAGGAGCAAAGGGGAGGCTGATGTGGTCTATATGTTGCAAATGTGGAGGTCAGAGGTACGGTAGGGGGTGTGGTGGTGGCTCACACCTGTAATCCCAGCACTTTGGGAGGCCAAGGCAAGAGGACACTTGAGCCCAGGAGACCAGCCTCTGCAACATACCAGGACCCCATCTCTACAAAAAAATTGATTTTTTAAGTTAGGCATGATGACACACATCTGTAGTCCCAGCTACGCGGGAGGCTGAGGCGGGAGGATCACTTGAGCCCAGAAGGTTAAAGCTACAGTAAGCTGTGGTCGCACCACTGCACTCCACCCTGGGTGACAGAGCGAGACTCTGTCTCAAACATAGAAAACCCTATGTGGTAGGAGACACGGGAGGCCAGCCACAGGGTGTAAGGTGGCAGTCCTTCAGCTCACTTACATGTTAGAATTACGTGATAGACTTTAAACAATACCAAATAGCAGCCAGGCACAGTGGCTTACACCTGTAATCCCAGCAGTTTGAGAGGCTGAGACAGGAAGATTGCTTGAACCCAGGAGATCGGGGCTGCAGTGAGCTGTGTTTGCACCACTGCACTCTAGCCTGGGTGACAGAGCAAGACCCTCTCAAAAAACAAAAACAAAAACAAACCAAAACAGTGCCCAGGTCTCACCCACTGAGGTTCTGCTTTAACTGGTCTGAGTTGCAGGCTGGGCATCAGAATGGTTAACAGATCCCTCTGGCATGAGGCCTCTTAGGCCATACTCATCAGCTTGACACTCCTAATGGGGCGGGGTGCATGTGAGTAAAGCCTGGGCTCAGGCCTGGTCCTCAGGAAGGATTCGGGGGGCTGGTGAGGGGTGTGTTTTCTCCAATGGTCTGATCTGAGCTCTTTGTGGCTTCCCAGGCAGCAAACACGTGCTCTGAGTGGCCATGGGGAAGCGATACTTCTGTGACTACTGCGACCGCTCCTTCCAGGACAACCTCCACAACCGCAAGAAGCACCTGAACGGGCTGCAGCACCTCAAGGCCAAGAAGGTCTGGTACGACATGTTCCGAGGTGGGTGCCGCTGGCTGGGGGCCGGGCTCCTGGAGCCCTGCTCTCTGATCTTTCTTATCTTCAAAGACCCTCGTGGGTCAGTGACCGTCTGGGTCTGGGCTCTTTGAGGATCAAAAGAGAGGGAGGCCTGGGCCACTGGACCCTCAAAGGAGCAGGCTGGTAGATGAGCTCTTTCCCCAGCAACCCTGACTGAAGGCTCTGTGCTCCAGGCACCTGCCAGGCTCTGTGGACAGGAAGAAGGCCCTAGAAGGAGGTGATGTTTGAGCCAACAGCTGAAATAGGGGAAAGCCAGCCACGTGGCTCTGGGTGGAGGGTGTGCAGAGAAGCAGGCAGCCCTGAGTCCAGCACCAGGGCTCTCGGAGCAGGAGGGAGAGGGTGTGGCTGGGCAGAGCAGGCCAGGGGAGAATGGTAGGGCTCAAGCTGGCTCTGGGACAGGGATCTTCCAAGCCTGTGGAGGACATCGTAAGCAGGGGGTGGAGGGGGGGTCCCTGTTCCAAGGGCAGAGAGCAGCCTTTGAAGGGCTTTAGCTGCCGTGCCCAGACCTACCTTGACAGCGCAGACTGCTTCGTGGGGAGCAGTTGGGTGCGGTCAGTGGCATTTGAATGACTGGCTGCAGGCACGGGTGAATAACCCAGTTGCAGAAGGGGGCAGGCTCTTCTGAGAAAGGCCTCTCAGAGCAGGAACAATTGGGGTGAATGAGCTAAGGTCAGCAGTGCCTAGCACAGGACCTGTTTCCCGGGAGGTGCCTAGAGCGGGGAGTTGTGCTATTGCGTGGCTGTCATTGGACGTTCACCCTGACGAACAGCCAGGGAGGTTCCAGAGCATGACTGGCAGGAGCCAGGTTGAGAGGTGTGGGCACTTAGTGGTGGGGCGAGGGTGGGCCAAGAGCTCCTGGAATGAGCCAGAGTGGGGCCAATGCCCTGTAGGTTGGTGAGCAGGATTCTGGGATAGGGCCTCTGAAGAAGAAACCAAATCCAGCAGCCAAGAAGGGAGGAGAAGTGGAGAGAGAGTTCTCTGGTTGGGGCTGGGTGTGGTGGCTTTCACCTGTAATCCTAGCACTTTGGGACACTGAGGTGGGAGGATTGTGTGAGCCCAGGAGTTGAAGAGCAGCCTGGGCAACACTGTGAGACCCTGTCTCAAAAAAAAGAGGCCTGAAACTGAGAGTTCACGAACAGGGAATGAGCATGGATCGAGTGCCTGCTACATGCCGGGTGCTTTTCATAGTTCATTTGCTTTTCTGGGTAACTCTCTAGGGCAGCGATTCTTAACTCTGGCTGCAGGTTAGGATCATCTGGAGACCTTTAGGTTAAAACCACTGATTCCCCGACCCCATCCCCTCCCCAGAGGCAGGTCTGGGGACTAGGCATGGTGTTTCTAAAGGCTTCCCAGACTCCCCGCATTTCACATGAGGGAGCTGAGGCTCAGAGGTTCAAGTGAGGGGGTGGCCAGGCCGCTCAGCAGGCCAGGCATGGCTGTGGTTGGAAGGCCATAGGAAAATTCATGGGCAGTGGGGTCTCCTAGGTCCCTAGGAGGCCTCTAACCCTGGTGTTACACTAAGGCTCTCTCTGTTGTGCAGATCCATTGTGGGCTGTGATCTGGAGGGAGCTGGGCCAAGATCACCTAGTCCCAGATTCTCAGCTGTGAACAGCTGGATCCTGGGATCCAGGGCTGATTGGCAGAGGTCCCTGTGTCACTTATAGAAAAGATGAAGCAGCAGGCAACAGGAGTTCCCCAGGGCTCCTGCGTTCTCAGCGTCCTCACATCCCCAACACATTCAGTCTTTAGAACAGCTCTGTAAGAGGCTGGGCAGGCCAGGCCAGGCATCCCCAGTTACAGGTGATGACTTCAAAATCCAGAGCAGGCCAGGCGCAGTGGCTCACACCTGTAATCCCAGCCCTTTGGGAGGCTGAGATGGGAGGATCGCTTGAGTCCAGAAGTTCAAGACCAGCCTGGGCAACATGGTGAAACCCCATCTCTACTAAAGATTAAAAAATTTGGCCAGACTCCGTGGCTCACACCTGTAATCCCAGCACTTTGGGAGGCTGAAGTGGGTGGATCACCTGAGGTCAGGTTGGCCTGGCCAACCTGGCGAAACCCTGTCTCTACTAAAAATATAAACATTAGCCGGGTGTGGTGGTAGGTTCCTGTAATCCCAGCTACTTGGGAGGCTAAGGCAGGAGAACTGCTTGAACCTGGGAGGTGGAGCTTGCAGTGAACTGAGATCACATCACTCTACTCCAGCCTGGGCAAGAGAGCAAGACTCCATCTCTAAATAATAAAAAATAAAAACAAAAATAAAAAAATTAGCCAGGCGTGGTGGCCCATTCCTGTGGTCCCAGTTGCTCAGGAGGCTGAGGTAGGAGGATCACTTGGTCCCAAGAGGTAGAGGCTGCAGTGAGCCGAGATCATACCACTGCACTCCAGCCTCGGCAACAGAGTGGGACCCTGTCTCAAAAAAATTAGTAATAAATGAAATAAAATCCAGAGCAGTGGGTTGCCTCGCCTTGGGTCCGCAGCTACTAGGGGCCGAGCTGGCACATGACGTCTTTCCACTTCCTCAGGAGGCTGCCCCAGGGCTTCTGCTCATCCTGAGCAACTGCAGGAACTTGAAGATATGCTGTGTGACTGAACTTGACTTCAGCTCTGCTCCCAGCTTCGTGGCTTGGGGCACATCCCTTAGCCCTCAGAGGGGCTGATGATCTATCTGCCGTGGTCAGGTGCAGGGCACCAGTCCCCAGGTGTCACTCACTAACACTGTGGCTTTCATTTTGTCATGTGTAAAACAGCTACAACAGTCCCCACCTCCCAGGGCTATGACAGGGGCTCAGTAACCTCCTGATGACTGCATGGCACATAAGAGCTTACTAAGTAGGCACGGTGCCTGTGGGTCCTCAAAAGGATTCCCTCCGGCCATCTCACGGCTCATTCATTCAGCATATCCTCGGCTCCCAGGCAGGCTCTGAAGATTCAAAGGTGGATAAAATAGGGCCCCTCTCCTTAGCAAGCTTGTGCCCAATTACGATGGTGTGTTCTGGGCAAAGCCCCTGTCCTGCCGGCCTCTCCCTCCCAGCTGCAGCCACCCTGGCCACTGCATCTGCTGGGCATAAGCTGTCCCCTCTGCAGACATGCCCTTCCTGCTGTCCTCCCTGCCCCAAGCCAGGCCCTCCCACCTCAGAACTCAAGTCAGGCAGCAAATCCTCAGGGACATCCTCCCCGACCCCTAGAATGGGTCAGGTCATTTGGCTACACACTAGATGTTTACCCCGCTTACATCCATGGGGATTAGTGTGACTGTTGGACCAGAAGGAAGGACCAGCTCCGACTTGTTCTCCGCTTAAATCCTCGGCCTGGCGTGGTGCCTGGCACACAGGACATGCTCAGTGAATGTTTGGCAGATGAATGTCTAAGTGAATGAGCAAAGAAACATGGGGCACCAGGGGCAGCTGTTAATTCTGGGAGATGAAGCAAGAAGGACCCATAGGGTCAGATCACGAGGGGCCTTGAATACCCATTGCAAGAGCATGGGCTTCCTTGTGCAGGGCCTGGGCCAGGGATTCTCAACCCTGAGTACACTTCAGAGTCACTGAGGAGATTTAAACGATTCTGATGCCCTCCCTTTCAATGAATTAAAGCAGAACCTGGGAGGGCTGGGGCTGGGTGTCCATGTACTTTAAAAACTGCCTGGTGATTCTGATGTGTGGCTGGGGTTGGGAACTACTGAGCAGACGCAGGCAGCCTGGAATACTCCCATACCAAGCCACCTGGAAGAGCCCCTTGCCCAGGACTCAGGCTCAGCCCTGCTGCCAGCCTCAGCCGTCACAGCCTCAGGGGGGTCCAGGGCAATGTCCACGTGCCCTCCACTAGCCTACCCCCTCAGGGAAGGGCAGGCAGTGGTGTCTGTAGCACCAGCTGGGTGCACTGAGTCTGACAAGCCCAGCACTGACAGATGGACCCTCCCCACCCTGCTGGTCCCCCTGGCATGAGTTCTCTGATAACCAACTCCCTATCCCAGCAAACCACACCCTCACACCCTCACACCACCACCTGCCCTTGGCAAATCACTTCCCCTGTCTGAACCTCCATTTTCCCCTCTGCAAAATGGGGATGTTTGTGCTGTTCAGAGGGTTTGTGAGGAAAAAATGAAGAATTGCTACCATTTGCTGTGCACCCACCCAGTCTTGGCCGCATACCTGGAGAACATGGTGCTAAGGCCACTGCTGGCCCCAGAGGCAGACCTGGTCACTTTCCTAGTGATTCTCATGTGCCACCAGGGTTGGGAACCATGGGCCTCCTCTGCAAAGCACTCTCCATTCATTATCTGATGACATTTTCATAGCAGCCCTGCCAGGTGGGAACTATCCTCCCATTTGACATTTGGGGAAACTGAGACTTGGAGATTATGCAGCTTGCATGTGATCATATGTTGTTAGGATTAGAGCTCAGGTTTCCTGGACTCTGAAGCCCGTGGTGTTTCCTTGGCCTCTAGAAAAGGTGGTGGGTGAATGTCCAGCCCAGGCCTGGCTGCTCCCCTCCCCTGGGGTGGATATAAGGGCTGCTGAGTCAGGGTACCACCCTCAGGTACCCTACTTCCTTACAGATTTTGACTGATTAATAGCTTGCCTATCAAGAAGCAAATTTAAAACCATAACTATATGATGAAAGTAAAGATAGGCTGGGCACGGTGACTCGTGCCTGTAATCTCAGCACTTTGGGAGGCCAAGTGGGGAGGATCACTTGAGCCCAGGAGTTTGAGACCAGCCTGGGTAACATGGCAAAACCCCATCTCTACAAAAAATAAAAAAATTAGCCAGGCGTGGTGGCAGTCACCTGTAGTCCCAGCTACTCGGGAGGCTGGGAGGGAAGCATCACCTGAGTCCAGGAAGGTCGAGGCTGCAGGGAGCTGAGATCGTGCCACTGCACTCCAGCCTGACAGAGTGAGACCTTGTCTCAAAAAAAGAAAAGAAAAATAGGAAAAAATCCCATTTTTGATTGTATCAGCTGATTGTATCAGCTCACCTAGAACAACCCTAGAGGAAACTAGGGTTAAGGTTAGGATCAGAGTGATTGCCGATGCTACAGAATGACTGTCGGAAGTCCTGTCCTGTCCAGTGACTGGTCTGGCCCTGAGCACCCTACAGCTGGTGGAAGGAGGGAAGACAGAAGCCAGGGATTGCAGTCTTGCCTGTGGAGCAATGCCTGGATCCTGGGATTAGCCGATGGGCTTCCTGGGCACTAGGATTTATTTAAATTTTTTACCATTTTATTTTGAAATAATCATAGATTCACAGGAAGTTGCAAAGATAATAATGAGACGTTTCATAGGGCCAGGATTTTTTTAAAGTATTATACCTCCAGGCTGGGCCCAGTGGCTCACACCTGTATTCCCAGCACTTTTGGAGGCCAAAATGGGAGGATCATGTGAGCCCAGGAGTTCAAGACCAGCCTGGGCAACATAATGAGACACCAGCTCTACAAAAAGATAGAAAATATTAGCCAGGCATAGTGGCGCACAGCTATAGTCCTACCTACTTGGGAGGCCAAGACCGGAGAAGGATCGCTTGAGTCCAGGAGGCAGTGGCTGCAGTGAGCCATGACTGCACCACTGCACTCCAGCCTGGGTGACCGAGCGAGACCCTGTCTCTAAAAAACAAAAAACCGAAAGTCCCCAGACTTCCCAGGTGACTCCCTTGTGCCAAGTTGAGAACCTCTGGCCTGAAACCTGGTCCTTGCCTTTGGCCGGTCCTGCGTCGGGTGGGAGGGGTTGAGGTCACCTGCAGCTTGGATCCATCTGCCCAGGACTCCCACCTGTGGTCATCTCCTGCTTCCACTCCTCTGTGGATGGGAAACTCTTCTTTCTGCGCAGCTGTGTCAGGATAAAGAGTCCACGCCCCTGTGGCTTCCACCTCCCGCCTCCCTTGGTAGAGCCTGAACCGTCTGAATCCCGTCCCTCTCTTCTCTCGCAGATGCAGCTGCCATCTTGCTGGATGAGCAGAACAAGCGGCCCTGCAGGAAGTTTCTACTGACAGGTAAAATGCTCTGCACAGCTCAGGTCCCTGCGGGGACCTGCGATGTCCAACCTGGCCCACTTGGACCTCTGCAGAGTGTCTTCCCCGACCTGGGCCACCATCCTAAGCCCACTTTGCAGTGGTGGCTCCAGCTGACTGGCCAGTCAGGGCCTTCCCAGGTGTTGTGTCTTAGGACCTCCTAGAGACTGGTCCTCAGCTCTTCAGATCTAGAATGTGATTGTGTCAGCTCACCTAGAACAAGCAAGCCGTGGGAGATTACAAGTAAATCCAAGAGACACTTATGGGTGGAATAGACTTGTTGATTAAGTTAGCCTGGGAGCCTGGCCTCCGTCCCAGCAGGCAGAACTTCAGAGAGTAACAGGGTTGATGATCTGAGGAAGTTCGGGATCAGAACCAAGGATGCTAGGTATAGATTTGACTGCTCAATACTCAGCTACTAGAGACGCATATAGGTCAGAGAGATAAAAGGTCAAGCATGGTGGCTCACACTTGTAATCCTAGTACTTGGAAGGCTGAGGTAGGAGGAATGCTTGAGGCCAGAAGTTTGAGACCAGCCTGGGCAACATAGCGAGACCCCATCTCTACCAAAAAAAAGTTTTGTTTTAATTAGCTGGGCGTGGTAGCACACATTGATAGTCCCAGCTACTAGGGAGGTTGAGGTGGAAGAATCACTTGAGCCCAGGAGTTCAAGGCTGCAGTGAGCTATGATTGCACCACTGCGTTCTCGCCTGGGCAACAGAGTGAGGACCCTGTCTCTTTTAAAAAAAGAGAGAACAAGTGATAAAAACCTCAGTAAGTGAATGAACCAAAGACAGATAAAAATAAGGGTAGGAAAAGTAAGATAAAACCAAGAGAATAGTCTCCTCCATGCATGCCCTTGAGGTCCTATGTATTCTCTAAGGGTTTGACTCAGAGCTTCCTGGCAGCCACGGCAAAGAGGAAAACTATGATGATTCATATGGTTTGTAAGGGAGCTTAGCACTGGGGAGAGGTGCTTCAGCTGAACTAGGGAAACTGGGTGAATGTCCAAGCTCCCCTAGGATGGGCACCAAGCCTGCAGATCAGGGGCTTCCCCACAGACTTTGCCTTGATGTGAATATGTCACTGGTAGGTTACCCTGGCTTGAGACACCTCCAGCCTCCCAGTATCTCGACATACATTTTGATCTCCTTGGTTGAGAGAGGGGAAGCCACCCCAGATTTTGGTGCCTCCTTGGCAAGGCTGCCACTGAAGCCTTTCTAAGGAGCAGTCCAACTGCTCCCGTGAGCCAGGTAGGCAGGCAGAATACTAGGCTGGGCATAGCACGTGCTGCGGCTTGGAGTGGAGAAAGGAAACATGGCCCTTTCGGGAACCCATATGTAGTTCACTGAGGCAGGGCTGGGAGGGCTGGTGACAGAGAGGCTGTAGAGGCTTGCGAGGCCCACTCGTGACAGGCTTCAGTTAGAAGTGATCCCCAGCACCGGGGGCAGCTGGAAAAGGGTCGTGAGCATGTGGCATCATGGGTAAGAGGTTGCTCTGGCTGCTGAGTGGGCAGGGCCAGAGAGATTCCATTTTCTGTCCAGGGTCAGGGTTGCTACTCTTTAGGCCCTGAAGTCCTGACCCTAAGATTCTGGGGCCCCTCACCAGGGCACCCCTCAGCCCCCATGGGGAGCCTCTCCCGAGCAGCGAGTAACTCTGTTTTCCTGCTGCAGGCCAGTGCGACTTTGGCTCCAACTGCAGATTTTCCCACATGTCAGAGCGAGACCTGCAGGAGCTAAGCATCCAGGTGGAGGGTACGTCTCGGGATGCCCTGGGTTAAGCGGGAGTGGGGTGCTAGGGCACGTGGGCTCTGAGACCGGGGAAGCTGGCCTGTGCCTCCCCATCTCCCCGTCATTGGCAGCCAAGGGCTACCCAGGGTGACGGGGAGCCCTGAGCCCCCGGTTTGGGCCAGGTGTCAGGAACAGCCTCAGCATGAGTGGAGAAGGCAGGCCTGTGTACCCTGACAGGGAGCCTGCGTGGCTTCCTGCCCGGGAGCCCTGAAGGTGCACCTCAGCCCCACCTGGACCCTGTGGCCAGCTCAGCAGTCACTGGCAGATACACCCCGTCCCTCCCTCAGTCAGGCAGCATACCCAGTCTCCACGTGGCACCAAGCAGACCTCTTACAACAGTCTGGGAGCAAGGAGTTTAGGAACACACCTTCCCTGCCTTCTGGAGTCTCACAGCCTGGTGATTCCAGGGAGGGGCAAGTTCAGCTTCCATGGAAGCTGACATCTCGCCTTTGGGAAATTCACTCCTCTAGTTGGAGCGAGGCTGAGTGCTGGGCCCTCATGGACAGATGGCCTGGAGAAGTGGTCCAGGTGCATCTTCCTGGAAGGTTGTTGCAACTTCCCAGAGCTTGCTCAGGGCCTACCAGTTGCTTCTGCTTTGTGGGAGGGTAGGGTTCCGGCAGGCAGGCGTGTACCCCTCACTTGCCTTTGTCTCCCTGTCCCCACAGAGGAGAGGCGAGCCAGGGAGTGGCTGCTAGATGCTCCCGAGCTCCCCGAGGGCCATCTGGAGGACTGGCTGGAGAAGAGAGCCAAGCGGCTGAGCTCAGCCCCAAGCAGCAGGTACAGGTCCCCAGGGTTCCCTCCCCCTGTGCCCTCAGGGGCAACACCCCAGCCCGCCTGCCCCTTCCTGAGGCTCAGGAATCTCCATGAACTGCCCAGGCCCAGGGGCCAAATAAAGATGCCTCCACAGAGCTCTCCGAGGGGCCACGTTGGGTGCTCTCGGGGCCCCAGGCCCTGGCCAGAGACTGAAGGGCGTTTGAAGGAGCCTCTCCCGAGGCTGGGCTCCTGTTGGAGTCTGTGCTGGCTGGAGGGGAGGCAGGCGGCTGAGCTGATTGGCTGCACGTCACCAAGTCCATTGCCAGAGGGAGGGGCCTGGGCTGTGGTCACCATGCACTGCTACCCGCTAGGGCCTTGCAGAAGGGAAAACAGGCTCACGAGAGGGGTATGACTTGCCCGAGGGCACACAGCTAGGAAAATGTAGAGCCGGGATTGTACAGGGTGTGATGACAAGGTCCTGGTCCCACTGTCTTTCTAAGGAAGGGGGTCTGGTGATGGCTCCAGCCCTTGGGACACTCACAAGTTAAAGGGGAGCTGCTGGGTCGGGGTCCTTGGGGTGTGTGCTTCGTGCTGTCCCTGGTCCTCCTCTTTGAGGGAAAGGACTCAGGTGATATTCACATCAGCAGAATGGGACACAGGGCAGGCAGGGGCATCGCGGCCAAAACCAAAGCCTGAGCTCCTGGGCTCTTCCTCCAGGGACTGAAGGGGGAGGGGAGGAAAAGGGGATAAAGCTGCGCCCAGGAGCCGCCTACGACTTTGACACATTTTCCCATCCTGGCCACCTTGCTTTCCCCATCTTGCAACAGGACTTCGGACCTGACAACCTCTGTGATGCGGCTTTGCAGGACGGTGGCCTGGCCTGGCCTGGGCTGAGGGGGCCTGGCCAGACAGTCTGTGGGGTGAGGCCTTCCCTCGGGGCTCTGCCAGAAGGTGAAGGCCAAACTTCTTGCCTTCTCTGTGTCCCAGTGAAAGAGACTGTGAGGGTGTTTTTTTTTTCCTTTTTTTTTTTCTTTTTTTTTTGAGATGGAGTCTTGCTCTATTGCCCAGGCTGGAGTATAGTGGCATGATCTCAGCTCACTGCCACCTCTGCCTCCCGGGTTCAAGCGATTCTCCCGCCTCAGCCTCCCGAGTAGTTGGGATTACAGGCGCCCGCCATCATGCCCAACTGATTTTCGTATTTTTGTAGAGATAGGGTTTTACCATGTTGGCCAGCCTGGTCTTGAACTCCTGACCTCAGGTGATCCGCCCGCCTTGGTCTCCCGAAGTGCTGGGATTACAGGCATGAGCCACCACACCTGCCCCCACCTTTTTTTTTTTTTTTTTTGAGATGGAGTCTTGCTCTGTTGCCCAGGCTGGAGTGCAGTGGCACGATCTCAGCTCACTGCAATCTCCACCTCCTGGGTTCAAACATTTCTCATGCCGCAGCCTCCCAAGTAGCTGGGAATACAGGTGCATACCACCATGCCCAGCTAATTTTTGTATTTTTAGTAAAGACGTAGTTTCTCCGTGTTGGCTAGGCTGGTCTCAAACTCCTGACCTCAGGTGATCCACCTCCCTCAGCCTCTCAAAGTGCTGGGATTACAGGCATGAGCCACCACACCTGGCCAGTGAAGGTGTTTTAAAACTAGCTTTGTCTTTTACCTTTATTTTAAATCTGTGTTCAGTTTTTGTCTCCCCACCTTAAAAGTATATATGATACACACATGACTCAAACGTTGGAGTGTGACATTCTGTCCTTCTGGTCCTATCTGAAGGGTCCGCCTAAAGGGGTTCTATCCTGTCTTTGGGAATGTGAGTACCTCCCTTGGGACTGGCTGCTATCCAGGGATCCACATCCTACACCCCAGACTCCTTCAGCCCGTGTACGAGAGGTTTGGGCTGGTTGGAGGCTGCCCAGAAAGCTCTGGCCCCTGTGCCGCTCCTTGGACAGGGCCCCCTGTGGGTCCCATCCTCACTCTGCCACCCGCTAACCGGGTTACACCAGCCCCTTGCCTCCCTGCTCTGGCTCCGTGGTGTCCTCCGCCGGGAGCGAGTCACAGAGGCCCGGCTGTCTCTTGGGGCTGTGACAAGGTTTCATGGAGTGCCTGTGGCTGGAGTGAGCGCCAATGGGTGGGGTAGAGATGGGGTGTCCGAGAGTCCTTGCCTGGGTTCCAGACAGATGCATCCCTGTGCTGACACAAGGCACTATGAATCTGAGACTCGGGGGACTAGGGGACAAGATGGGGAAACTGAGGCTGAATGACTGGCTCCAGTCACAGGTTGAAGTGGCGACCATATGAGAATTGAGTTTGGTGCTTACAGTGTTCCCAGTGTTTGGGGCATTCAGAGAGATTGGCACCCCCATTTTGCAGCTGAGGAATCTTAACCTCTCCAGGAGGTGGGGCCATCCTGATCACATGCGCCCTGCTGCCCTTAGCCCTCACTTGAGAGAGAGCTATGTCCCTGCTCTGTGTCCAGACCCCAGGCTGCCTCTGACACGAAGTTCAGGGCTGGCCCAGGGCTCCGTGCAGCTGTGGGTAGTGGCAGTGGCAGTGGCAGACTGCCCGGATGGCAGTGACTGTTTTGGGAGTGGGGTCTGCAACTGGGGCCCACCTCGGCTCTAGGGGATCTGAGCCCTGTGCTCTGGGCCATTCTCCCTTTGGCCACCCAGCCTGGCCCCTTCCAGGGGATCTGCCACCTGACTTCCTCCAGCCTCCTGAGGGATTGGGGCCAAAATGAATTATTCTCTAGGCAGAGCAGCCCTGTCCAGCCTTGAGAAAAAGGGGCTGTGGGAAGGGAGGTGACCGTTTATTCCTGCTTTTGCCATTGCTGCCTTGGGCGTCCATAACCGTCTCTAGGCAGGCTGGTCTCCTGAAGCCTCGCAGCCTTTCCCTGGGCCCCGGGCTTTGAGCCCCTCCCCTGCATCCACGCCCCCTACCTTGCTTGATGGGAGGGGGTGGATTCCAGTCCCAGCCCCCCGCAAAGCTACCTCACTTTCTTCCTGGCTCCCTCTCCGGCCTGGAGGCAGTGCTGCAGGAACAGCGTTCTTCCTCTGCCCTGGCTCTCCTGGGGGCTATAGCGGCCGCTCCGTGGTCTCCCATCTTCCCTCTGCTCCCACAGGGCATCCTCCACACAGCAGCCCTGATGCAGCCTGGCCCCACTTCCTCCACCTCTGCCTCCACAGGCCCATTTGCAGGGCTGGGGCTGGGGCGGGGGGACCCTCCCTGCTGCCTCCGCAGCTGGTGGGATCGCATTCTCACCTCTTGCCTCTGGCCTGACTGTTGGTCCCACTGGACGCTCGGCAGCTTCTTAGATGTGGCATCATTTGTGATTTCGGGGCATCTTGTGCACGCTATTTTCTTGCCAGAAACTGCCTCCCACCTCTCTGCCTGGCAGAGTCAGACTTGTCCTGGAAGCTCTAGCTGAGACTTCACCCCTCCCAGCCCCCGCTTCTCCCGCATGGCCTGGGCAGACTTGGGGGGCCCAGGACAGGTTGACTGCATGAATGAGCATTTAGGCTGCTGTCTGGGCTTTCCCCGGGTGTTAATGCTGCGAGCCTCGAGCCTCTTGCGGGGCCTGGTCTGGAAGCCTGGGGGACCCCCTTTTCCTCTCAGGGTATCTGCTTCCTCCCCCAGGGTACAGGGCACAGAGGGCTGCCCACCCCACCTGGGGAAACCGAGACCTGCAGGCTCCAACCCCCACTGGCTGAGCCGAGCCTCCCCAGTGAGCCAGGCCAGCCCTCCTTGTAAATGTGGGGAAGCAGAGGGTCCACGAATCCCCAGCCTGGTGGCATTGCCCTTATCCCCCTCCGCAGACTGACCCTGAGGGAGCTGTCAAGAGCAGAGGCGGCCTCAGACACACAGACAAATCCCCCCGGCGAGCCAGGCCTGGCCCTGCTGCCCACTGTTGGCTCTTCAGATTGTGACTCTATCCCTCTTAATCTCTCCTTTGCACCCCTCTCTGGGCGGGCGCTGCCATCCTGGCCCATCCTCCTCCCTCGACTCTATTTCCTCTGATTAGGACCGAGGCTGGGGAAATGCAAGAGAGTGGCTCCTGTCCTCACGCACAGGACAAACAGGTCACTAGAGAAGATACGAGCCGAGTTGTGCCAGACACGCACCTCAATGTCCCCAAGGCTTTGGCTCACGTGTCTGGGGCCCTGGCAATGTGCCAGTGTGTGTGAGCAGGCACCGGGTATGCCTCTCTACTGACGGGGCCTCAGGGCAGGCAGGGGCATGGGGCTGAGACTTGGACCCAGGAGGTCCCAGCTTCCCGGGAATCTGCCCCATTTTCCAGAGGAAGGGCCTGAGGCTCAGGGGAAGGGGCTCCCCAGGATCACACCCTCCCAGGGGGATCCCCATTGTCCCTGTGGCCCTGCAGGGAGTCCAGGCTTGGCTGGCAGCTGGGGCACTCCCTTCCAGCAACTGCGGAGCCTCCCCGCCTTCTCTGCGGCTGGTGGAGTTTATGAAATCTCCCCAGTGCCATAAATCATGTCAGGAGCTGCCTTCTGCGCTTTCTAGCAGGCAGTGAGCCACGAAGCAGGGGATGTCCCTGTCCTCTCACACCTGGGGGTCCTGGAGGCTGCACCCAGAGCTCCCCGGAGTCCTTGACTCTGCATGGCAGGTCTGGCCCACGGAGGGGCAGGCTGGGTGGGTGCAGCAGGGGAAACTCCCAGGGCTCCTGACCCCGGCTCCCCCTCTCCCCCTCAGAGGTCAGAGGCCTCGCCAAACCCCTCTCAGCAGGCCCTTCTCTGTCTGCAGAGGGCTGGCCACTGGGCCCCTGAACCTGCCGGGAGCTGCCAGGGCCTCACCTTGCCTAAAGGCTGGATGTTGGGGTGTGGGGGTGTGCTGGAGCTGAGGGAGCTGAAGTGGGAGGGCTGTGTCTGCAACCAATGTGGGGCTGGCATTCCAGGCCCTCAGGCCTCATCCTGAGGGTGTCACTTGGTCACGTGACTGACTCCTTGCACCTCAGTTTCCTCATCTATGAAATGGGGTTTGCCTGAGGATTCTTAAGGTTTCTGTTGGTCATGGTGTATGGCCCAGAATAGCGCCTGGTCAGTAAGATCTTTCAGCATTCTGTTTGTTGTTCCACAGTCACTGGGTGGCCTCCTGGCACCAGGCCTGGCCCTGTGCATTGGGGTACAAATACACCCTACCTCTATCCCTGGTATACATCCTCTGAGAACTCCAGTCCTACACGGAAGACAGATGAGTTCCGGCCTGAATTTTGGCGGCAGCTGCATGGCACTCTGCTGTGGACGTGCCCATGTACTTAGTCCCCCACAGCTGGACATGAAGGCTACTCCCATTGTCTCACGGCTATTGCTGTAACTCAGTGGCTGCCCACAACCTCACTATTTTCTTGGGCTCAGTTCCCAGAGGTGAGGTTGCTGGCTCAAAGGGTCTGCATGTTTTCGAGGCTCTGCCTTCCAGAAAGGTTGTTTATAGGCAGCTGGGGTGTTGGGAGTTCAGAGTGCTCAAAGGTTCAAAGTACTTTGAAACCTGAGAAGGGCCCTGTGGCCCTGGAGCTGCAGCCTGGGTGGGGCCCAAGGCCAGAAGAATCTGAGTGTGGGACAGGTGGAAGAATGGGGGCAACCCTCAATGGGCCTTGGCAGGGTGCCCCAGGCTGGGCATGGAGGATGCCTCTCTTAGGGCAAGTGCTTACATGGACCCTGAGTTCCAGGGGAGGTGGCTCGGGGTGGACGTTGAGGAGGAGGACAGTGAGTAGCATGAGAAATGAGGCTTTTTAAAAACATTTAGACAATATTTTTTTCTGATTTCAAAGGCTTGCGTGCTTGTAAAACTTTTGAGAAGTATAAAGGAGTAAAAAACTCACCCATAATGGCACCACTCAGATAGAACCACTGTTAACATTTTGCTGTGTCTTCCAGGATTTTTTTATGCATTTATATATTTTATATATTTTTAAACAAAAATAGTATCATGCTATATACATTATTTTATAAGCTGCTTTTTCTCCCTATCACACAGTATGTCTTTCCTCATCAGTGCATATAGGTCTGCCTGAATTCTTACACAGGCCGCATGGCATTCTCTGCTGTGGACGTGCATATGTATTGAATCAGTCCCCTACAGGTGGACACGAAGGTTACTCCCATTGTCTCATGGCTGTTCTCGTAGCTCAGTGTCTGCCCGCAACCCTGCTGTTTCCTTGGGCTCAGTTCCTGGAGGTGAGGTCGCTGGCTCAGAGGGTCTGCCTATTTTCGAGACTCTGCCTTCCAGAAAAGTCGTGCAGGCAGCTGACCCTCCCCACAGCCAGGGTGGTGAGGCAGGTGGGCCGGGAGTGGCATAAGCCTGGGCTGTACCCCACTCACCACTCTAATTCTCCCCCCTTCTCTCTCTCTCTAGGGCTGAACCCATCAGAACCACCGTCTTCCAGTACCCCGTGGGCTGGCCACCAGTCCAAGAGCTGCCCCCATCCCTGCGGGCACCGCCACCTGGGGGGTGGCCCCTGCAGCCCAGAGTCCAGTGGGGCTGAGCCCCTTGCCCCCGACTGACCCCCACGTGGTCACTTTTCTCATCAGTCACAAGCAGGAAGCCAAGCCCTGTTCCTGTGACGCCCCATGGAGGCTCTGAGACCATCTGCCTGGCCTCACTGAGGCTCAGGACACGGCCGCAGCAAGTGTAGCCCTGGGTCTGCACCAGGCAGCTCCTGCCTCACTCCCCTCCACCTGCCTCCTCCTCCTTATCAAGATGGGGGAGAAAACTTCCAGATGTTTATAAAGAAAGTCTGTCGCCACAGTGGTCTGGCTGTGTTTCCCCACGCTGGGTGCTCTGAGCTCTGTTCTCTAGCCCCTGGCAGAGGTCGGGCAGGGCGGGAATGAGATGAGATTTTCCCCAGGTGACCCAGCTCACTCCCTCCTCCCTTGGGACCAGCAGAGGTTCAGCGCAGCCAGGCAGAGGGTGTGCCAGGGTGGCTGTCCCCGTGGCCCAGTAAGAAGTGGCTCTAGGCCCAAGGAGCCCAGGGGCTCCATCTGCCATCCCCGCCCTCAAAGAATCCACAGCCCCCATGTCTGCCCATGCTGAGCTGCTGCCCAAGTGTTTTAGATGGCACAGCTAGGGCATGGGAGCGGGGTCTCCAGCCTTGAGGGCGTAGAGAAGTGAGAGGACACAGGAGGGCAGGCCCTGGGCTGAGAGAGTGGCCTGGCGCAGCCTCTTGGCACTGACTGTGCGGGGCTATGCCAGTTTCTTGGCCCAGGAGGTAGTACAGGGGCCCTCCTCAGGTTCAGCCCTGGAGGAGCCCCCTGGCCGAAGGCTGCTCAGAGCCTTCAGGCCCCAGCTCTGCCTCCTTCCTCAGCTGGACTACAGTTCTAGGCTCTAGGCTGGGGTGGTGGACGATGTGGCCTTGGTGGCCAGGCCTCTGGTGGGAGGGCCAGAAGGTGGGGGGCTGCAGGGCCACCTCAGCTTCTGCCTTTCCTGAAAATCCCTGTGGAAGGAAGAACTGAGGCCAAGTCTCAAGCCCCTGAGCCTCGGGTTCCTCACCTATGAAATGGGCTGGCCCAGCAGGCACATGGAAAAAGGGGGTCTGGGTTGGGGTCCAACAAGGGTCAGAGGAAGGGACCCAGGAGCCTTCTCAGGCCATGCCGGGCAGCAGGGCCCAGGACACCCTGGCTTCCCACCCTCCCCAAGGAGGAGGCTTTCTGTCCCCTGTCCCCCCGCCCAGTGCCCTGGGCAAGCGTCAGGGACCAGGGCTGGGTTGGCTGTATGGCCCCAGATAGGCTGCTGTCTCCAGGCACAGGGTGCCCCCTCCTGCCCAAGGGACCACAGCAGCAACTGGGTCCTGGGGGTTCTTGTGCAAATCCCTCCTTAATTTCCCAGGAGCCCCTGGATGGTAGGAAGAGTGAGTGCTCCTTACCGGCCAGGGTGGGGACAGGGTGGGGACAGGACACAGCCACCACCCGACCCTCCACAGCCAGACCACAGCTCCAGGTGAGGCCTGCGGGTGGGTGGGGAGGGCTCGCCAGATAGCCAGGCCCTGAAGTACACGCAGATGGCGGCCCAGGGAGCCGGCCAAGGGAGGGGTCTGCAGGTGGCGGTGGTGTGGGGTGGGCCACGGGCACCGCATGCGGTGGATGGGGCATCCAGGTGGCGTCTACTTCATGCCACTGCGCAGCACCTGGTTGGCCGCAATGAGCATGACACTGATGATGAAGGCGATGGCGAAGGCGCAGATGAGACTCTTGCGTACGCACGTCTGGCGGATCTGCTGGTTGGAGCAGGCTGTGGCCGCCCGCCGGGAGCACCAGGGAGACAGAAGGGGACATGGAAGCGATGGAATTAGGAGCTGCCTGCCCTTCGGTACATGGGCTCATCCCATGGGGTGCCCCAATGGGACAGAGGCTTGGGACAGGCAAGGCGGCCCCCAGCCCCCCTCTGCAGACTGCCCCCCCCACCGTGCATCCCCCTGGTCAAGCCATCGAGCCCACCCGTGGGGTTCCAGAGCCAGTCACTTACTCTCCACGTCCACGGGGCACTCCTCGGCTGTGCCCAGGTGGCTCTCCTCCTCCGTCATGATGATGTTCTCTATGTCCTTCATGGACAGGTGCTCGCAGAAGGTGTCATAGAGCAGCCGCTTCAGCTCGTCCACCGTCAGCTTCTGCATGTCGCACTTGCAGAGGGGGAAAATACGGTGCTCTGACAGCCACCACAGCCCCCACCCAGCACCCTGTGGCCACACAGGCCCAGTGACAGGCCTCCAGATTCTGGGGGGCTGGAAAACACTAGCTCCATTCCCCCAGAGAGTCCTTGACCAACACCAGCCTCCCCAGGGAGCCCATGGCCCTCTGAGAGGTGAAATGTCCAGTGGACACAAGCCTGAAGTGGTCATCCCCCCTTTACAGTGCAGGCCCAGCCATTCACTGGCCGCAGAACAGCACTCCACAGTGTGCACAGCCCTGGGTCCCAACTAGCCAGGGCATACCTTCCAGAAGACAGTGTCAAAGTCGGTGCCATGGAACTTCTCTGGGATCCCTGACGTGGAGAGTTTGGGTCCCAGGAGAGTCACAAACTCCTCAAAGTCCACTTGACCGTCACCTGCAGGAGGCACAGGGCCAATCAATCAGTGGGTCAGGCCCAGGCCCAGGCCCGCAGCCCAGGGCCCAGAGGACCTGGGATGGAGTCTTGATATACCTTGGGCCTACTGGGTGACCTTAGGCAGGTACCCACCTTCTCTGAGCCTTGAGTCAGTGTCAGGGGCATCTACCAAGTGCCAGGCTCTGGGCTGACGCTGAAGTCACCCAGTGTGATGAGGCCTTACAAGGGGAGGTGGAGGTAGACAGCAGGTGGGCTGTGACCCTCCTATTTCACCCAGAACCCTCCATTGCTCCCAGCACCCTGCAGCCATCCTGGGGTGGGCCGTCCTCTACCATATAGACAGGAACTGAAGCTCAGAGTGGGGCAACCTGCCCAGGCTGTCACCTGGCCTCTGGATGGAGAAGAGGAGAAGGGCCCAGGCACGATAAAGAGGGGTCTTGGCATCACCATTCCTTCTTATGAACTTTTCCTTAATAAAATGCCAGGTGGCAAACACAACTCATGTAGCGATTTTATCTCAGGTGGTGGGAACTGGAGTATTTATTGCACCCTTTTACTTCTCTGTACTTTAAAACTTGTCAACACAGAGTGAGAGGAGCCGTCTCTGAGCCCTGCATGTGGCTGGGACTGTCACTACCTCTCTGGCCTCAATTCTCCAGGCTGAGAAATGGGACCAGCCCGGGCTGCAACCTGCCACGGACTTTGAGGGTGGGAGTCAGGGGAGCAAGAGACCCAATTTGGATGCAGCCTCAGCAGTTCAGGCCCCAGCCCCAGCCCCTGCCCCACCTCCAGGGCCCAGGTGCCAGGTGGGGAAACCGAGGCGGGGGGGTGCTCACCATCCATGTCTAGCCGCTGGATGATCACCTCCAGCTCCACCTCATTGGGCATGTAACCCAGTGAGCGCATGGCTGTGCCCAGCTCCTGCTTGGAGATGAAGCCATTGCCATCACGGTCAAACACCTTGAAGGCCTCTCGGATCTCTGAGGAGAGAATGGAGCAGGCTGGGACTTCACCCCGGTCCCCAACAGACCCCCTTTCCAGACCCCCAGGACCACCGACCCCGCAGCCTGAGCATGGCTTTGAGAGCCCAACCCAGAGCCTGCAGATCTGGTGAGAGCACGGCCCGAGGGTACACAAGGGTGCCGTATTCTGGGACTTCTGAGCAGGCTGAGCAGGGCAGCAAAGCAGGGCTAAGGGCCCTCCAGCAGTGACTTCTCGGGATCCGATTGTGCCAGGCTCTCACGGCCTCTGCTGGTGTGCTCACAACGACCCCATGTGGTGGGGACCACGTGCAGGGGAGGACGCTGGATCTCCCCGGCCCCGCTGACAGCTTCCCCACCCGCCCCTACTCCTTCCATCCCCCCTCCCCCGCCATCCCCATCCCGCTGCGCCTCCTCCCCCAGGCTCAGATCCTTAACACCGGCCAACACTCGCTAATGGCAGCCACGTGAGGCGGCACGCTCCAGACTAATGGGCTGACGGGCGGGCGGCACAGACCTGTTTGGTTCAGGGAAGACAGAGGGGGATGGAGGCCCCCCAGGTCCAGGCCAGATCAGACTGGGTGGGGGTTGCCCTCCACACTGTACGGAGTAGAAGACTGAGGCCTGGCAACCTCGGTGACTCAGGTGGTGAGCAATGCACTGTGCTGGGAGCCCGGGAAACAGGAACCCAACCTGTGACCTTGGGCTGGACTCAGTTTTACCCACAGTGAAATGGGCAGAATGATGGTGGGGACTCCCTGGCACAAAGGTGAGGGGCTCCTCACCTGTCACCTTAGCTGTACTTCTGTCTCTTCTGTTTCTCTGTTTTTAAGGGTTGCTGTCCCTTAATCATCACAGCCCCAGCAGGGCCCTAAAGGGCATCTGCCTTTGGGGGTCGGGGGGTGGGGCTCAAAGCGCTCTCTCCGGCTCCCTGCGGATCCCCTTGTTTGCTTGCCAGCCACCTGGCCTTTGCTTAAGCTGTTCCCCTGGGTGGGCTTTTAGCTTTCAGCAGGCAGAATCAAGCTTCTCATGCGAGAGAGGGTGTGTATCTGTGTGTTTAAAAGTAGAGACATAGGCGAGGTGCCCATGCTGCAGACCAGAAACAGGCTGAGAGAGGCCGGGTGGCCGGCCCAGAGTCAGCGTGGGCTCGGAGCTGCTGCTGCTTGGGCTGGCCCAGGCCTTGCCTTCAGAGTCCATGAACCCTAAAACTGCTCACAGGACCTTGCACTTTGGAGTCATTCCCTAGTCTTGGGGGGACAGGGGAGCCTAACCCAGCCTGTTGGTCTCACCACAGACTAGGGGCCATGGCCCAGAGAGGATGGCCACATGTCCCAGGCCACACGGCAAGGTGGCTTGGACGGAGGCCCCACCCTTATCAGGCTCATCCCACCGGTGTCCATACCCAAGCCCTGAGGGTCAGACAGGCTCATGTGTGTGCACCAGGGCTGCCTGGGCCCCTAGACTTTCTGACTCTGGACTTACCCTTCACTCACTCCCACCAGGACCTGGGAATCTTGTCTCCTAACCAGTGGCCCCGGGGCCAGGGAAGCAGCTGGGCGGGGAGGTCTGTGCCAGGGCCACAGGGTTCTGCAAATCCTGGACTCTGGGAACTCCAGGCCAATTCCCACCTCGAGTTTTCCTGGGTCACCAAAGAGGTAGTGTGCTCCCCGTCACGGGAGATGTGTGAGCTGAGGCCTGACAGCCACGGAGGCTGCTGAGGGGACTCCA